GTGATTAATCACAAAAACAGTATGTAATTACATACGTGTTTTCTGATGGTCTTAGGTGACCCTTGTGAAAGGGTCGTTCGACCTGCAAAGGGGTCGCGACCCACAGGTTGAGAACCGCTGGTCTAATCAATGCTTCTCTGTCTCTGGATCTGTTTTTGTTCATCAGTTTATGTTGTTCATTATATTCCACAAATGAGTGAGATCATGTGGTATTTATCTTTCTTTGACTGGCTTATTTCGCTTAGCATAATGCTCTCCAGTTCCATCCATGCTGTTGTAAATGGTAAGAATTCCTTTTTTACCACAGCGTAGTATTCCATTGTGTAGATGTACCAAAGTTTTTTAATCCACTCATCTGCCGATGGGCACTTAGGCTGTTTCCAAATCTTAGCTATGGTCAATTGTGCTGCTATGAACATAGGAGTGCATATATTCTTTCTGATTGGTGTTTCTAGTGTCTTGGAATTTATTCCTAAAAGTGGGATCACTGGGTCAAATGGGAGTTCCATTTTTAGTTTTTTTGAGGAAACGCCACACTGTTCTCCACAGTGGCTGCACCAGTCTGCATTCCCACCAGCAGTGCATGAGGGTTCCCCTCTCTCTGCATTCTCGCCAGCACTTGTCATTTGTTGATTTGTTGATGATAGCCATTCTGACAGGTGAGAGATGGTATCACATTGTCGTTTTGATTTGCATCTTTCTGATGATTAGTGACTTTGAGCATGTTTTCATATGTCTCTTGGCCTTTCTTATGTCCTCTTTCGAAAAGTATCTATTTAGGTCCATTGCCCAATTTTTATTGGGTTATCTTCCTTTTGTTAAGTTGTATGAGTTCCCTTTAAATGTTGGAGATTAAACCCTTATCGGTGATAACATTGGCAAATATGTTTTCCCATGCAGTGGGCTTTCTTGTTTTGTTGATGGTTTCTTTTGCTGTGCAGAAGCTTTTTATTTTGATGTAGTCCTATTTATTTTCTCTTTAGTTTCCATAGTCCTAGGAGCTGTATCGGTGAAGATATTGCTTTGGCATATGACTGAGATTTTGCTGCCTGTGGATTCCTCTAATATTTTTATGGTTTCCCGTCTTAGTTTAAGTCCTTTGTCCATTTTGAGTTTATTTTTGTGTATGGTGTAATTTGGTGGTCTAGTTTCATTTTTTTGTATGTATCTGTCCAACACCATTTATTGAAGAGACTGTCTTGACTCCATTGTCTATCTCCAGTTTTAACAAATCCTCCTTTTCTGACTTCTTTTTCTCTACCAAAACTTAAAATGTCGTGTTTCCCAAGTATCTCTTTTAACTCAACATGTTCCCTAGAACAGTGGTCGCCAACCTTTCGGACTTCACGGACCACCAGTTGGCGACCGCTGCCCTAGAAGAGTTGTCTTTTCCCATGCTTCACTTCATATAACTTTATAGGATACCCCTATCTTACATGTTCAGCCCCAATTGTTTTTGAACTCTAGTCTTATTCTCTAACTGCAGTCAAGCAATGTTCTATTAATACTTCAAATTTAAAAATTGGGATTATCTTTTCCATTTCTCCACTGGTTGCTTCCTAGTACTTACCTTTAATAATAAGACAGATTATTCTATATAATAAAAGCCTAATATGCAAATTGTCCCCTTGACTGGGAGTTTGACCAGGAGTTTGCTCGCTATGATGTGTGCTGACCACCAGGGCATGGTGCGGAACATAGTGGGCATCAGTGACGCGGCGCTGGCAGTGGGTGGCAGTGGAGGTGCTTCTGGCCCTGATGGGCTCCGATGAGAGTGGGACCACGAAGAGATGGTGGAGTAGGTGAGTGGGCGGTGCCAGGCCAAGGCGGGTGTGAGCAGACCGGATTGCCTCATCGATCGCCCTGAAGACAGCAACCAGCAGCAGCGGTAGGGGGCGGGGCTGCCGCCTGGCTCCCAGGCACTGAGGGAGTCCAGTAGGGGCCCAAACGCCCCGTTGATCACCCCGCAGATGGTGACCAGCTGGCTCCCAGGCACTGAGGGAGCAGGGCAGAGGCCCGATGACTCAGGTGGAGGGGGGTGTGCAGGGGCCTGGGGTCCCAGATGCTGCCCCGGGCCCAGAGGTCAGCTGGGACCTGCCCTTCCACTCCAGACACTGGCGTTTCAATTGCTGGCCAGGCCTAGGCACCGCACCCATGTGGGAATTTCGTGCACCAGCCTCCAGTCTTTGATAATAAGCCAATCAGATCCTCATCTTAGAAAACTTTGTCTAAAATCACCAAATCTTATAGATTTCCAGTGTTATTTTTTTTCTCCTCTCCAATTCCTCTGCATTTGCCTAGTTTAGTTCTTATAATGAAATCTGACAGGTTGGGAGCAATCCTTGACCTCTTAAGAAGACCATATTCTGATAATGGAGGAGATGTAGGTTAGAGTATAATTATAATAATACTAGAGGCCCGATGCACGAAGATTCGTACAAGAATAGGCCTTCCTTCCCCTCTGCTAGCACCGCCTTCGCTCCGGCTGGAGCTGCCTTTCCGCCTTCACTCTGGCCCAGAGCCGCCTTTCTGCCTCTCGCCTTGTTGTGCCAATTTGCATATTCCCTCCTTATTGGCTGTGGGTACCGCCATCTTTGCTGCAAAGTTATGGTCAACTTGCATATTCCATCTTTATTAGATAGGATATTTACAAAGTGCTACGGTTCACAAAGAAAGAAGCAATTAACACCAGTGGTAGTATGATAAAGACAGTCTTTGATAGCTTTGAGGAAGAAAATATACTTGGAGTGCATCTTAGAACTTTAGATACAGAAGGGAGAGAAGGATATCACATAAAGAACAGCTTATAAAAGGCAAAGATAGACCAGGCACTACATTGAAGGAGATGAGGCTTTAAATAAGAGCTGAGGCTTGATTATGAAGGGTTTTATATGCCATGCTAAGGAGGCTTTACTTAGTTTTGTAGAGAAGAGAGGCATTAAAAGCCTTTAAATAATGGTATCAGAAGTTTGTACTTTAGAGAGACAAGCTTGTTGTATCTGAAGGAAGTTCCAGTAGTCCCCAACTTTAGGGGATATGCCTTCCCAGCAGGCATCTGGAAACACTGGGACATTATTTGTATGTCACAATGACAGGGAAGCCACTGGCATCTAGTAGGGAAAATCCAAGTATGTCATGTCCTACACTGCATGAAGCAGTCTCCTATAATGTATTTACAGAAGAGTCAGTTCGTGGCTCTGCCTCTGGGTGGCAGTCCATAGACAGAACATTTAAAAAATTTTCTACTCACCTAAATTTAAAAATCACCAAGAACAAATCCTTATTAAGTATAGGAAGTAGTAAAAAGAATACTGTCCAATTGGAGAGGGTTCCATTTCAAATAATGGCCAGATAAAGTTGGTCTTTCAGACCAACCCTCTAACAGATAAAAATCACAAACTCAGGACAAAAAATGTCGACTACCTCAAAGTAATGGAAAGCAAGCTAAAAACAGGCTGATGGCTCTAACCAGGTTGGCTTAGTGGACAGAGCTTAGGCCAATGGACTGAAGGGTCCTGGATTCAATTCCGGTCAAGGGCACATACCTTGTGCAGGCTTCATTCCCTGCCTGTGGGAGGCAGCCAATCAATGTGTCTCTCTCACATAGATTACCACGATGTTTCTCTCTCTGCTCTCTGTCTCTCCTCCTCCCATCCACTCTCTAAAAAAAAAAAAAGGCAATGGAATATTCAGGTGAGGATTAACAACAAAAATAAATTAAAATTAAAATAGGCTGATGCAACAGAGAACACTTGGAAGAAAATAGCAGTGAGTGACTTTCCCAATGCTTATAGCTCTTAGCCTGAGGGCAGTCCCCATTCTGTACCACAGGAGCCTATAGCTTTTCTGACTTGAAGAACCATAGGACAGAGTTGGGGCAATGGCAGCTGCTAAAAAGTTAAGGAAGAAATAATGGCAAGGAAAGAACCAGAGAAAAAGCCTGAAGTCCATGTATAAACTCTGCCCCAAACTCTTGGCTGATCTCTGAAGCATGCATGCACAGGAGAGATTCCAAGTTCAGCAGCTAGGTTAAAGAACTAAACTGAGATTTGAGCTGCCACCAATTGCAAGGGAGCAAGAACTTACAACAGAAATTCAGCCAAATTAACTGCCAACATATTTAAAAAGAAGTCTTTGGAGAAACATATCAGAATCCAGGGTTTCTACATTTTATTCACCATGTCCAGGACAAAATCTAAATTACTAACCTATGAAGAAACAGGAAAAGATAATCTACTCATAAAAGACAATCAAGGAAGACCGTCACTAAGATGATCTCGATATTGAGATAAACAGAAAAAGATGTTAAAGCAGCTATAATAACTATGTTTAAGATTGTAAGAGAAAATGTGCTTGTAATGAATGAAAAGGTAGAAAATAGCATAGAAGTATAAATTATAAAAACTAAATGAAATTTCTAGAACTAAAAAATATAGTAATTGAAAGAATAAAAGCTCATTGAATGGGCTTAAAATAATGATTACCAGAGAGTAAGTGAACTGGAATATAGATCAAGAGAAGCAATCCAATTGGGGGGGGGGGGGAGGGGGAAGTCAACAGAACACCACACATATGTGAGACATCAAAAGGCCTAGCATATGTATAAAGAAGGAAAGGAAAGAGAAAATTAGGCTGAAAAACTATTTTACAAAATAAAACAATTAGAGGAAAATGACATTATGCACAGGGGGAAAACAATTTAAGTACTACTGACTTTTCATTAGAAACAAAGGGGGTGGGCAGAACAATGAAACGATGCCTTTCAAGTGCCAAAGAGTGTGGGGGAGGGGGAGTGTTGACACAGAAATATATTCAGCAAAAATATTCTTCAAAAAGAAAAACAAAATGACATTTTTATATATAAAAGAAAATGATGACACTTAACTGCCAGAAGACCTGCACTATAATAGACATTAAAGTTTTTCAGGCTGAAATGACTGATACTACTGAAGAGAAAGGAATAAGAGCATTAGAAATGATGGTGTGGGTAAAAATAAGAGTATTTTTCCTTAATTTATTTAAAATATATGACTGTACAAAGCAAACTATAAACTCCACAATAAAATGACATAACATGCTATTTGTAAGACATGACAACTATAAAATAACGGTAATGAGGTAAACACGCCTATGTGGTTACTAAGTTTTTATGTGTAGTGGTACAACAGTAACTGTAAACAGGCTTTGTAGAGTTACAGCTTACCATGGGTTTGTTTTACATAGGTGTGTGCATTTGTGAAGACTCGTTAATTAGTATATTTAAGATTTATGCATTTTATTAAATGTCAATTTTACCTAAAAAGAAAAAAAAAGCCTTAAAAATTGATCTCTAGCAAATGATATTCAAGTTGAAATCTTCAGGAATGAAGTGTACTGATGTCTGAAACTTATGATGGCCTGTATCCAAAACAGTAAGACAGGCTGATTGATGGACAGAGATGGATAACTATGTGGTAAAGAGAATGCAGTAAAGTCTGAATGGCAGAATCTAGGTAGGAGTACATAGAAAAGACAGAAGGAGATAGAGAGGGCAAAGTGCCATGCACTGGAAAATAGAAACGATGTTAGCACTACTCGTTGTTTGAAAATTCCATGATAGTTTTGAAGTTAATTAATTAGTTCTGAAAAAGATTAGAATTATTTTGTCATGGAATTCAAAATGATGTACCTGTGAAACTTATTAGAGTATTTGCTTCACAATCTTAGAAAGTGCTTACTTATTACCAGTCGAAAACTCCCTTTGACTTTCAAAAGTTGATTACCTTATGATTTGTCCTTGAAAATTCTTAGTACATCATTCAGTTGTAATATTGACTTAGGGCCAAATCTGGAAGAAAACTGATTCCACACCTCTAGTTATGAGTTCCTGCTCCTCCAGTTCTCTTCCCATAAACTAGCAGCTCTATCCACCACATAGTGTATCATTCCAAAGCTGATGCTCTTCACTTAGAGGTATTTCCAGGGAACTTTTGACTTACTATATAAATATACTGTTATCATTCCAATGTTAAGTGTTTTAATTACTAAATAATTGTTAATTAAGATATACTTCATACATTTCCTCTCCATTAAGCAGTATTTTTCCTCTCATTACCTTACCATGTAACATTTGTGAAGGCAGAGCCCATGTCTAGGTTTCACGCGTACCTACCACAGGGCTTGGCATGTGGAAGACCCTTGGTACATATTTACTGAATGAAAGAATAAAGAATATTTACTATCATTCACAATATCCCTTTCTCAACTGATACTGAATAGAAATCATCAACATTAGGACAATAGTACAGTTTGACTAATTACATCAAATATAAGTTATAATAATATTTTGTTCTTATCTATGTAAATCTTTTTAAACATATTTTGCTATTTTAAGTGTTTTAAAGGTTATTGTGACTTGACTAACCCAGAAGTTTTAAAAATTAAAAGTGATAAATTTATATTATAAAAAAAGTGCCTATTTTGCATACTAACAAATCAATACTCTTTTCAAAGTTCAAAGGGAAGAGAAGCTGGTACTAATTGTATCAAAGTAAGATTCAATTTTTATAAAGACTAATAATTTCATATCAGAATCAAAAAAATTTCAGAACTCAGTTTGAGAGAAAAAGGAAAGGTTTTAGTTAAAATTTTTACAATAAAATAATTATGATTATAAATCTCTAGTTAAATATGTACACATTACATGGTATTTTAAAAAAGAATGGAAGTGAATAAAGTTTTTCAGGCAAATCTAATACACAAATATACCATCTTTTAGAGTATAATGTCAGTTTAACATTCTTAAACAGCTGTGTCAGACAATGGCTCTGCTTTGTGCAAACATGATAAGCAAAATTAAGAAAAATTCTGCAAAATTCTTTAGTTCCTCAAGAAAATGACTAAAAAAGAAAATAGAAAAGAAAACAAGATTGTACACTCAAGCTTGATTGTATACAGAGGCTAGAAAGACTGGCACTAATGTAACCCCCATATCTGCTAAATAGTCCTTGGGTAGCTTTAGTTTGAAGTTAAAAGTTAAAGTCCTAGCAACTGTGCTTTTATGCAGCCACATGGCCAATAAGGTAGATGTTGTCATAAAGGTGCCCTACAAAATCTTCACTAATATTCTGAGCAGCCCGACGAGTATTTCGAATAAATTCTCGTTTTGACATTTTATTCTTCACGTGAGGGCTAGTGAGGTCAATGGAAAGTAGAATCAAAGAGTAGCACAGTACATAGACAGCATCTGGAAGGAAAAAGAAGCATTTCAAAATGTGGTTCCAAAGGCATCATATCATGCAAAAATGTTCATAATTTCAAGAGATCAAGATTAGATTCTAATTATAGGATTACCAAGTCATCCCAGTTTGCCTGGGTCTTTCCCAATTTTAGCACTGAAAATTCTGTGTCCTGGGAAACTCCCCAGTACTGGGCAAACAGGGATGCTTGCTTATCCTAACTGAATACCAATTCAGCACTTTCTTCAACTCAAAAGAACTTCAGAATAGGTCAAGAGTTTATCATGAAAACTCACTCTAAATTTTACAAGTTCATAATTGGCTTTATTTTCATCTTGCTTTCAAATGTGATATTTCCATTCAACTCACCATAAAATATTTGTACTGTCAGTATATTTATCTTTCCATTAAAAAGAAGTCACATATTTATTTACATATGCTTTTATAAAACCCTAATTTAATTTGAAAGCATCTTTAATGACAAAAATTGTATTAACTTAGTACAATAAGATTTAAATAATTCATAAGGTTAGTAAAATAATATTATTTGAGATAGGCATTTTAAGGGTCTATAGAATTTACATATTAATCTCAAAAGTAAATCTTTCGGGAAAAGATTGCTAAAGCTGAGCACCATGCAACAAAAAACTTTTCTTCTTTATATATATCCTTAGGGCAATACTTGTTGTTTACTATTAAAATAGTAACAAAGTTCATGATACTTGCTACTACTACTTGCTACCACTGTGGTGTTTATATTTCAGAATCCTGTAGTCTTAACAAAGCTAATGTCTTATAAGAGAATGTTCAACAAATTTCATATGATAGGTATTTTGTAATCTCTTCTTAGTAAGGTAAGTACAATAAAATTTTTGATATGAAGCAATAAGTAAAGCTATATCATGTGAAAAAATATGTAAGTAACTCAGGCTCTATCACACACACAAAAACAATGAACACTAGTTGTATGAAAAACATTTTATTAGAAAAATCCTAGGTTTTACCTATGTAATATGTAAATTATTAAAAGCGTTACAATTTCTCAACTTTTTAATTAGACTAGTAAAAATACCAATACTCAATTTTTTAAAAGTTATATAGCTAAGTGTAACTTTCCTCCTAAGACAGCATATTAACTATATATAAATGATAGCTACGGCAAACTAAAGTAGTCACTGCTACAAGCAGTAAAATAAGTATTTGTAATTTTTCCTTATAGTGAGAAAAATGTCTCATAAACTACTGTTTTTACCTGAAGGAGGGAGTGGGAGAAGGAATTCACTATCTATATTCTTACCAGGACTAAGGCCAAGTTCTCTCATTAAATCAGGGTTACAAGCACAGAATCTATGTGAGAACTTTGTTATAAGAGTTTCAAGATATTCCCCACGCTCCTCAGGGGCATGGATGTGACGAAAAAATTCTCTCAGTGCATTGGGCAAGAACTGATTTCTAAAATTATGCAGTGTTACAAGGTCATCCAAGACATCTCTCCTAAAAGAAAAAGACACAGCTTTAGTTAACTTTTCTCTATTAATCATCAGTTTTTGAATAAAAATACTTTATTATTGAGTACCAGATCAGCTAAGCCTATAAAGTATATATAATTCTTAAAATTAAAAAACTGTGAATTATTTAAGGAATTAAATAATTTAAAAATATTTCATAAATAGAATAACAAAACAAGGTAAAACTTGTATTTCTAATTATAAAATGAAAAACTAAGATTTTCAATATTGTAAAGGGCAGTTATTTTTCAAGTGTCTTCTTGGCTAAGTCCAAATGAGCAACATAATTCTTTAATTTTTAATTATGAAAATAAGGAGTCTTCACCTTCCATATCAATCTACATCACCGGAGGTAACAACTGTTTATGCACACTTTTTTACATGTCTACATGTACTGTCTATTGTTCTAGATTTTTTAAAATATATTTTATTGATTCTTTATAGAGAGGAAGCGAGAGGGACAGAGAGTCAGAAACATCGATGAGAGAGAAACATCGATCAGCCGCCTCCTGCACACCTCCTACTGGGGATGTGCCCACAACCAAGATACATGCCCTTGACCAGAATCGAACTTGGGACATTTCAGTCCACAGGCTGATGCTCTATCCACTGAGCCAAACCAGTTAGGGCTGTTCTAGAAATTTTTTTTGCTTATTTTACATAGTATATTGTCAACAGTTTTCTGTCTTAAAATTTTTTTTTTATTTGTTGATTTTAGAGAGAAAGGAAAGAAAGACAGAAAGCGAGAGAGAGACATTGAGTTGTTGCTCCACTTATATATGCATTCACTGGTTGATTCTTGTACATACCCTGACCAGGATCAAACTCACAACCTTGGTGTATCAGGACAATGTTCTAATCAACTGACCTACCTAGCCAGGGCTCTGTCTCTATACATAGGTCTAACTCTCCTTTTTAATGGCTTCACAGTATCCCATCTTATGAATGTAACAATTCTAATGATATACATTTAGGCCATTTACAATTATATAAATATTTGTGTGTGTGTGTGTGTGTGTGTGTGTGTGTGT